GGTGGATCACAAGGTCAGGAGATTGAGACCATCCTGGCTAACAAGGTGAAACTCTGTCTCTACTAAAAATACAAAAAAAATTAGCTGGGCATGGTGGCGGGTGCCTGTAGTCCCAGCTACTTGGGAGACTGAGGCAGGAGAATGACATGAACCTGGGAGGTGGAGCTTGCAGTGAACCGAGATTGCACCACTGCACTCCAGCCTGGCCAACAGAGAAAGACTCCGTCTCAAAAAATAAAAAATAAATAAAAATAAAAATAAAATAAAATAGGCTCTTGTTATCAGATACTCAGTAACTGAGGATACGTTTATACAAGCTCAAAATAATGGATCAGTTTGCTGGGATTGTTCTCTCTTGCCCAAGAGACCAAGCCACAGCCATACAGGAGTTGCCTCTTGAAGATAATGTATTTTGTCTCTTGAAGATAATATATTTTGGGACAAAGTAGATCAAGTCAAACAGGTGCTATTTTTATACTAGAGTCACCAGGTGAGATCCATCCTGGGAAACAGAATACAAATTAAGAAGCTAGGAGATAATTCCTATATGAAACTTAAAGAGGAGGAAAAGGGACAGAGAGTCAATGAAGGTCAACATTAAAGGCAGCAAGATGTAGTGGTTATGAACATGGCCCTGGGGTTAATTCGTGTGTATCAGAATTCTGGCTCCTCCAGATGTGAGACTGTGGCACACATTATATAATTTAATATATAATTTAAACCTCAGTTTCCTTCTTTGTGAAACTGGAATAGAAATTGTAACTAACTCACTCATAAGCTTGTTATGAGGATTAGATTGTATAATGCCTATAAACACTTAACATTAGTACAACACATCATAAGCCCTCAATAAATGTTAACCATTATTAAAATGGGGTCTTTTAAATCCCCTATGGTCTGTTTTATTTAGCAAATAATCTCCCTCCATGATTAACTCCTTTTCAAGCTGGAAACTATGAATTAGATTGGCCAAAGAAAACAGAGGGAAGCAGCCAATCTGAAGAGCCAGTTTTTGCTCCACCATTCCTAGGACACACAGATGGGAAACTCAAAAGTTGCCAACCTTGCCCAAACAAATTCATGCCATGAGGCTTCTCCTGGATTAGTAAGCCCTGGCTAATTTCCTTGCCTGGGTAACTTATACAATGAGGAATAAGTCCAAACTCTTCTCCCAGTCAGTCCTGGAGAAATAAAAACCCTAATAAAAATAATTATAAACAAACCACAAGGAGGGTAATGCACCTTCCATTAAAGGCTATTGTGGGGTAGATGAAGTCTGTTGGGAAATGTGCAGCGTGGCAGCAATATCTTGATAAATAAGCTAAGGCTGCAGTGTGCTCATGCTGATAACAAGCAACATGGAACAACTGCCTCTTCTACAAAACCCTGGGATTTATGTCCAGTCTGCCTGCATTGAAAACCAGAGAATTAACTCATGAAACTCATATATCAACACATGCAGAAAAAGGAATCACAGTACAGAAATGAAATTAGCATGAAATTAGTTAGCTGTAGAACATAAATAAAGGTACTGACACTTTTCTGCATCTTCTATAGCAAATGTCTTTGGAGAACTCACCAAACTTGGACTATACCTGATGGCTCCTGTGATTTATTTCAACATTTTCTATCCTAAGCAGGTTGTTTGCAAAGTCCTTCAAGTATCATTAAGACAAATCGGGAAACACAGATAATTCTTCAAGAGAAGAATATGATCATGGAAAGACACTGCTTATACAGAGTATCCCCGTGTGTCAGTGTAGTCTCCAGAACAGTGTCTTGTATTTATTAATCCATTGCCACAGAGATTACTACAATCTGACTCAGAGTCCTAATTAATTTTTGGCACATTTAGAAATTGTGACTGTCGTTACCCAGGGAGCCTCTTAAATCAACCCCCCTTTTACTGCAGTTGCCTTTTTATGGTGTATATCACATTGAGAAATGGATTACAGGATCCTTAGCTTTAACTATCCTGCATTAGTTGATTGAGTACTATGGATGTGTATTGCACAGTTTAGGAATCATAGGGGAGCTAGGGTATGGATGATAATTTAAACATGAAATTGGTGATGTCTGGGACCTGGTAGGAGGTGAGGCAGCGAAATACAGGCAAAAGTCAAGGCAATGGGATGGAAAAATCAGATATTTATGACAAGCTTAAAATGAACTTGTTAGTGAATTGTAGTATTTAGAAAGAGTCCTATCTCGTTATTCAAGGAGGTGATTTTTTTTCATAGTACTCTGATCCTCTGATTGCTTCTTCTTCCCTTTTATGATCAGATCCCCTTCAATGTGCAAGTGGATATTTGGGGGCAATGGTGATTTAGTTCTATGAAGTCATACTCTGCATCTAAGATGAATGAAGATCACATATTTAACTTGTCCAATATGTAGACATACAGTGTGAGTCGGTAGATATAGGGTTTAACTAATTTCCTGTTATCAACTTGCTTTGGGAGCTGGGTTAAATTGTTCAATGTATTAGTATCTCAGTTTCCTCACCTATGAAATAGGATAATAATAAATAATCTTTCTAATTCATGAGGTGAGAACCAAATAAGATCTTCTATTTTGCTCTACCTAAGACATTTGGGAGGCAAGAAGCAGACACCCACAAGATGTTAAATAACATTTAACACCTGGAGTAAAATGTTATTTGTTTTCAGGTCAGACACAGATGGGAATAGAAATTGCAAGGACCCTTCCTTGAGACAGCCAAAGCTCATCTCCCATTCCAAGCCCATGTGGTCTTACACTCCTGGCATCTCTCATTCTATCTGCAAGTTGGTTCCATGCCTCACCTTCAAACCATGGCAACCCAGTGAGGTCCTCCCACATGTGGCCCACAGTGGCGACTCTAGACTTGAATCTATCTTAGGACCCTTCAGCTCAGCTACTATAGAAAGCCAACTCGCCTTCTTATTGTCCTTTAGATATGTCAAGCTCATTTCCACATCAGGGCCTTTGTATTCGCACTTCTTCAAATGCTCTTCTCCCAACTCTATGCATGGTTTGCTCCTTCACTGCATTTCAATCTCTGTTCAAATCTCATTCTTTTAAAGATAGCTTCCCTGATCACTCCACTTAGTATTACACCATCTGGTACTCTTTCCCCCTTATTTACTTTTATTTTCTTAATATCACCTATCATTATCTGGCATATATTTATTTTTTGTCTATTTCACCCACTAGAAATCAGGCCAATGAAGTCTGGAACTTCGTTGTTGTTGTTGTTGTTTTGCTGTGATATGTCCTTTGCTTCGAAAAGTCCCTCACACCTAAGAGGAACTCAATAGATACTGATTAACTGTATATATCACGAATAAGTGAATGAATGTCTCATTGCCCCAGATTTGTAGTTTCAAATTTTTAAGAGAATTTTTAATGGATGCATTTCATAATTTTCAGAAAGACCATTTCATCAATTTCTGCTTATAGATTTCTATCCATGTGCCAGCTGGATAGTCTCATCAGGCAGGGTTGAGATGGGGCCATTTCACATGGTACTGAGCACAGGCACTTAGAGCATGGATAGCTAAGGGAGGCAGATCCCTTAAGTTGGGGCTTGAATGGTGCAATCCTGAAGGCACCTTGGGTCTCTTGGATGACCAGCTTAGCTCTGAAAGACACAGAGGCCATCTTCCTGTGGCTAAGAATCTCAAGGTCAGAAACTAGGCCAGATCCTACAAGTACTAGCTCTCTGGCCTTAGTTGTAATTGTCCTTAAACTTTTTATTTACTCTGCATTTTGTATTGAGTTTCCATGAGTAACTAATAACAGCAGTGGTTAATATTTTTGAGTATTCCTGATGAGTCTAACACTTTATGTGCATATTTATGAAGCTTAACTCCTGGGTTTCTCATAACCATCTTCTGAGGTAGATACTATGATTCACTTCATTTTGCAGATGAAGAAATATGAGAATAGAGAGAAAATAAAGTGCCTAATGTCACTTGGTGAGTAATTAATACAAACAGAATTTGTACCCAGTTAAGTCCGACTTTTCAGCCTTATTTAACAAGGTTATTTTAATCCACTCACTCCACTGTGGGACTTCCCAAGAAGTTCACATTTTCTTAGAAGTAACATTCTGATGAGGTGACACATACAAATATGATTTCAATAATAGATTTCAATAATAAAGTATTATGTGCAAGCTATTCTCATTAAACAAACATTTAAAATACATTAAATATACATTTGGGTCTGTGCAGTTCCACAGACTTAAGATCTAGTATTCTCTATGGCTTTTGCATCTCTTTTTATGGATGTGCATTAGAAATTACTTAATTTTTATGGCCCAGAATGGCAGGGTTTTTAATTAAGAAAGTCACCAATTTTTATAATAAGCAAATATCAAGCCCTAAAATGCTGTGCTCCATATCATGCTTTCACTTTGGGTTTTGGCAATATGCCCTAACAATACGTGCAAAAAAAGTGTCTGAAAGAGTCCTAAATAAGTTAAGGTTTACACTCATACTAATGGCAACACGTAACTTTGTTGGCTTTCTTGAGCTCTGTTTATAATAATAATATGAACATACAAGGTACAAAATAAATGTTTGAGAAGGAAAGAATTCATTGATGCCCCTTTACTTAGCATTTACTGTATGCAAGGCACCATGTTAAACACTGAGAGATCCATGATACATAAAGCAACATTCCAAATTCACCCTGAGCACTTTTTTCTGAAACACAAGAACAAACCTGAAAAGTCAGTATGTGACTGCCCCAAATTTTGGTAATATCATACAGTGCAAGAAGAAATCAGGGATAGGTTTATCCCTTGAAATTATATAGCTTCCCATTGCTAACTAGTAGGTTTTCATGGAATTTCTCTCTTTAAAACGGCTGTGTGTTTCAATTGCATTAAAATTAAGCAGGTGAGAATTTATTTATCCTTGTATACTAAAGGTTTAACAAGGACGAGAAAAAGGCCATATTTACAAACACCAATCTATGGACTGCAATTGTTTTGCATCTTTCAATAGGATTGTTAGTTCTATTTTTGTTTGTTTTTGCACGTGTGCTTTATACAAAAGACTCTGTAAAGTCTTGATTTCCATATTTCTGGTGAAGCTCTTCCAGGTCTTCATGGACCAATACCCATCAATCATATGTGCCTCACAGATTTCCTTTGTCAGTAGCACATATCAGTATGATTAATGATTCAGTGTTCATACTCAGGAATCTGATTGGAGAACTGTTGTTTCATTTGTTGGAACGTATAATTCAAAAAGCATTGATGAAGTTGTCCAAAAAAAAGAGAGAACAATGCAAGTCTGTCTTACTTATTATGAACAACAAAGCTTGGTAGCTTATTAGTGTAAATAGGCTCTCTATGCCAGTATATTCCCTGGGGATAAACTAGGTGATTGAGAGGGGTCGTTTAAGTTTTTAGAGTGATTATACATCAGCATTACATGGAAGCTCTATTACATGAAAGAGTGAGTATCACACCAGGTTGAAGGCTTCCTCATTGGCAGAATGAGGGCTCATGAGCTGTTTAGTAAAACCTTACTTTTGTTTTGTTTCTGACAGGGAGTACTAATTATTTACATACTTAAAATATTTATTTATTAATTATTAAATTAGCTATTTACTTATCTAAAGATATGTACTATTTATGTAAAAAATGATAGAGGGTTATTATTAAAAATAAGAAACATCAAATATGTTTTCAAAACCCCCCTGAAATCCTACAGTCCAAATGACTCTTGGTCTCACAGGAGGTCTTAAGAGTGACATAAGAAACTATAAGGTATCAAAATGCATTGAAGGTTTGCTAGAACCTTGCATTTACGCAATTCCTAGAAATCTGGTAAAAGGTGCATTTTAAGCTAGAACAGGTTTTAGTTTTGTGTTTTTTTGTTCTTCAATAAATTTTGTTTATATATCTGGCTATTATTTTGAGGGGAAACAGTTTGTTCTCACTGTTATACTTACCTAAATTTCAAACATATTAAAGATTACATTTTTTTAAAAAAGCAAAACTATAATATTATTTTGATAAAATGTTAGTATTTTAAAACCTTGGTTTTAGAAGGTCTTTTAAAATGTGTCAAAGCCCAGACTTTAAAAAATTTGGCTGAATATAATAGAAAACTTCAGTATATCAAAAATATAAACAAAAAGCTATTAATTCACAGATAAAATTATAAGAGAAACATAATGGGAAGAAATGACAACACATGATAAAGAATTAATTTTTAATTTCTAAAGGTGCTTACTCTTAAAAATTAATAAAAATGAGATGAAAAGTACAATAGAAGAATGTACAAAGAGAAATATTTCTTCATAAAATGGCCAAATCAGTAACACAGGCTTTGTGTTCAAAGTGTTGATAAGTGCATACTTCACTAATAAAGAATCTATAGTATATATTTTATTATTATTCTAGAAAAATTTCAGACAATCCGCAAATGGAATGAATTTTATTATCAATATGCCATAGAAATTCAGTCATCTAATTTTTCTAGCTTATGTTATGTTGAGCCTGCATGTGGTCTCTCTTCCTGGAGGAGGGACAGGATAAGACCAGCAGTGTCCCATATGATTCCAAATGGAAGTCCAATAATGTCTTGGAATTCACTACTTCTCATATCCAAACAGTGCTTTATCTACATTAATGTAGGTGTTTGTAATTTTAATATGGATATCAATGAGCAATCAGAGTTGTTCAAAATATAATTTTTGAATATACTTTTGTGATTGATAGTTATGCCCCAATCACTATGAAACTCAGATTATTATTAAAAAGAACCTTCCCCTCTTTCTTAGTACTAAATTCAGGCTCTTGTAGATCTTTCACAAGCTCTGCTTTGAGATCAGGTGGTGCTGTGGCATTAAAGTTGCAGGTTTCAGTCAAAAAATCCCAAAGCAGGTCTGCAGTTTCATTACCATCAGTAAAGCAATCAGATATGTCCAAGGTGGACAAAAAGTCGTAGCACTCATACTTAAGCCCTAGGTTGTCCAGCATCTGAGTGAGGTCATCTGATGTGACATATAGGCAGAGGTCATCCTGGGGTAAGCGTGATCCGTACTTTCTCCACAGCTTGTCCCAGCCACTGCTTCCTGTGCAATAAAACACAATTCATGCTTTCATTTATTCTTTCTTTCATTTGCAGTCTGCCAGAAAGTACACTAGATGCTTAGAATAGAACAAAATAATAATCTTGTCCTTTGTGCAGTTTATATTTCAAGGAGTACAGGAGGAGAGAGAAAAATAAGTAAATATATGGTGATAAATGCTAAATGAAAAAGGAATCTGAGTAAGTGCTAAGAGAGTTAAAGACTTTGATGGGTTGCTGTTTTAACTAGGGTGGTCACAGAATCTCTCTAATAACCTGACATTTGAGCAGAGACCTGACAGCAAGCCATGAAGATATCAGGGGGAAGATGACTCCAGGAGACAGATGAGCAGCTGCGAAGGACCTGAAGCAGGATGATACTTGGCCCATTAAAGAACTAGCTGGGAAGCCAGTGAAATTGGAGCTGAATGAGTGAGGGCAGAGGAGAATGAGATGAGGTTGGAGGGATTAGGGGTGGGGAGTGGATGAAGGCACCAGATCACTTGGGGCCCAATGGGAAACCACTATAATGCTGTCTGATAGAACTTTCTGAACCAATGGACACGTTCTATATCTGCATTGTCCAGCAGGATTGTCACTCACCACTTGTTGCTGTGGAGCACTTGAAAGGTGGCTTAGGACTTGAGTTTCAAGTGTGACTGAAGATCTGAATTTTAAGTTGCATTCATTTAAATTAATTTCAGTTTCAACTTCACTACCAAAACATGGTTTCTGTATGGAACAGCACATTAGGATGACTCAATATGCATTTAATAAGGTCACTCTGGCCACACAGATGAGAAGAGAGTACTGGAGCATAAGGGCAGAGGTGGGGAGAACAGTGAGAAGGCTACTATAATCACCTGGGGATAGGTGGCGGCAGGTCCCATAGACCAGCGAGCTGGGAGGTGAAGAGAAGTGGTGGGAGTTTTTATGTATTATACTCCTAGATCCAACAAGGCTTGCCAACAGTTTGGATGTAGGATATGGGTAAATGGGAAGAATCAGTGATGACCCCAGTGATTTCTGCGTGGGGGCCTGAGAAGATAGAATTGCCATTATTGGAGAGGAGAAGAATGAGAGATGAGCAATTTTGTATCATCAGGCCTCTGGTTTCAGGAATATAGATTTGAGATACCTAGTGGACATTCAGGTGGTGACATGAGAAAGGTAGTTGTTAGTCTGGAATTCAGACAAGAGTCTTTAATAGTAAAAATTAAAATGGAAAAAAAGGGCACAGTAATGATGATTTACTCAAATAAATGGTTTTTTACTCTCTTCCCTATATAAAAAATGATGCTGCCTTGGACTGACAATAACTAGGTGGATTTCTATAAATATTGTCCCCAAGTTCAGAATACCCTTTAGCAATGTTTGTAGTATTTAATTGAAATTCTAACCCTGCAGAGAAGCTACGGAATACCTTATCTGAGGGAGACAGACATGAACTGAACTCTTCTTCTGATGCTTTATGAATGAGATGAGGCTTGTGAGATGAGCCTCTCAGAACTTAAATTTCCTCATCTGTAAAATGTGGATTATCTTACTTACCTTGAATACAACTACAAGCATTACATGAGATAATTTAAGTGAATTATTGCACAATGGTAAGCAGATGAAAGATGTGTAATAAGTGCTTATAAAATACATGAATTAGTCTGCTAGTGTGTTTCCACTGATCGTAATCTTGAGACTAAAAAAGCAAACCTGCTATTCAGAAATCTACAATAATAATGAATTTCTATTTATGGGCCTTCTAATACATGCATATTACATACACAGTCAGTACAGGCAGTAATAAAGAGCATGGTCTCTAAAACCCAATTGCCTGAGTATGAAGCCTGGCTTTCCCTCTTACCAACTTTATGAACCTGTGTCTCAGTTTTATGATCTGTAAAACAGGGGTGATAATATAATCCATTCATAGACTGCTACAAGGATTCACTGAGCTAATAAAGTAAAGGCCCTTAGAACCATGACACATTAGTTAACATTACTGAAGTGTTAAACTGGATTTGGCAAAAGCAGTATAAGAGACAACTTATACTTTCTTTGTGCTTCTAGCATTAAATGTCTTGAGCTACTTTTGGTTCCCAAGTCCCCTTTATGATTTAGTGAGAGTAACTGACTCTCCAGAAAAATACACAAACAATACATACCCACACAGTTCTGCATATGGTTATAGAATGCTCAAAGACCCTTGACTCTCATGCATGGATTAAGCTAAAGTTCCCAGATTTAATTCAACCCAAGAGATGAACCAAGACAAAGAATAGGCTAAATAATAAATAGCCTAGGATAATTGATGTTCTACTTATATTTCAGAAGAGGGGGAGGTAACTGTAGGATATGCTCTAGGAGAAGGTGGAATTGGAATGAAGTAGAAAGAATAAAACTTCCATTCAATGAAAATAAATGAGGGTTGTGAGTATTTATTTAAAAATATTTTATTCCAAAGACAGTGAATTGTCTTCCTAAATAAGAGTTTGCCGGCAAACAAGATATTACAAGAAAATCAGCATTTCAGTGGCTGAAGAGAGGCTCTGTTAACATCATTATTATATTTTTAACCTGGCAGAGAAAAAAGAACCAAACACTAACTGCAGAAAATGTGCTGGTGTCAGTGATGTGACTTGGTGCCATTTCTGAGCTGAGCAATTATGCACTTCCAGATTGATGCATTATAATGGCTCTCGGTGGGCACAACATATGGTGTTACTTTTGTTTTCAACATGATATAAACCAGATTTTTTTTTCACTGCATTAAAAATAACACACAATGATTTGCCTCCTTCCTTACTCAGGTAAGGAGAGGACACACAGAAAGCTTCAGTGATCTCCTTCTGGCTCATCTCCCTTAACCAGACAGGCTGCCTTTTAAATAGCAACCCTCCCAATTGATGTTTGGCTATAACATTTGCAGAAAAAACATTTCTTTGATACAATTTTAGTGGGGGATACTCCACATTTTTTTTAAGAAATCCAACTCTCTTGTTCTTATGTCTCTTCTTTTTTATCCCCAGATCAAATTTCTTTCATCTCCATGATCAGGAACTTCTACTAGTTATCACTAAATGATTATCTCTTGAGTTCGGGTAATTCTGTAATAGATATTTACAAACACAGAGGAAAGATTGATTTCCATCAAGCAACATAAATTTCAATAAGCTGACCAGTAAATGTTGTCATTTAATTCTGATTTCAATTTATTTTTCTTTCCCTAATTAGTTTTAGTTGTTCTTCATTGCTTTTGTCTGGCTGCTTCCATTTGCTGTGTGTGTGTGTGTGTGTGTGTGTGTGTGTGTGTGTGTGTGTCTTTTTTATTGAGTCTTTGATTCCTATTTATTAAACTCCATCTGCAAATATCCAGAAATTCCTGTGTTCTCTGATTTCATCAAGTCAGTTTTAGCTGAAATATACTCTTTTTCCTTGGATGTATGTTCAGAG